GTCAAAAGCAACTGTTTCAAATACATAATACATAGTAGGTATCTAGTAAACAAAGTAATATTCATTATTTTATATATTTAACTACAATTTTAACACTGAACTAATGAAAAAGTCTAGTATTTAATACAGACTTTAATAAAAAAGGTTTTGTAACCGCAGATTTTTTTTTTTTTTTGTAATGCTAAATATCTGCCTATATTTTTTTTGCTTTTTTATATTTGTGCATGTTAGTTTTTAGATCTTCATGTTGTTTGATTTTTTTATGGATACATTTCAAGAATACTCATCACTACACAATTTTTGGGAAAATTCTATCAGAATAATCGAAAAATAACCCTAATGGATACTAACAAAAAAAAACTAAATAAAAATGAAATTATTTTTTAGCACAGAATCAATTTGTTGATTGATAATTTTCTGATAAAATTTTCATGGAAACACAGGACACTTTTTAGAAAATCAGCAGGAAATTCTTCAGCGACATTTACACGGGTACGTACTGCTTACATTAACAATTCAAATAATATCAACTACAAAATGCTGTACCAGTGTTCGATAGTACCATATTTTTTTCAAAAATCAACATATTGACAGAATTTGCAAGTCCAGTTAATCAAAATCAGCACAATGGATCCTTCAAGAGGCAAGAGGGCCTTATCCTCTTCAAAAATGGTTTTGTATTTACAAAGTACCAAATAACGTCCATCCCAAATGGGATTGTCTTAATAGTATTTTCACGAATGTTTGTTTAAACGGCAGTAAAAAACTAATGCTGAAACCTGCTCTGGAAACAAAAAAAAAACATTTAATAAAATTAGTATTCGGCTAGTATAAACGTTGCTCGTCTGTTAACTCGACTGATTATAAATCGAGCTACATACATTGATAATTTGGATTTAAAAAAAAAATTGAGTAACTGCATAACAGATGAAATTTTTTTTGCTTTTTAACAACCTGTGACGTCGTTTTTCTATCATTTTAAAAAGTTTCTCTAACGGTTTTTTCAAAATTGTTATGTTATATAACTAAGGCACTACAAATTATGTCATAAGCATCCACTATACCCTTATTTACTGCTAACATACATAAGTACGAACACTTCAAAACAACAATAAGTTGACCGCTACCTATATGTCGCGGGAGAAAGACTGTAATGGCAAAAATGAGCATGCTTTTTAACCGCGATTTTTTTTATCATTTGTAAAGTTTAATTGCAGATTAGCTATCATTACACTTTTAATCTTTTCAGCTAATTCTTTCAGCTTTCAGACTTTCCATTTAGATACATTGTATGCACCAATCTGCTATTAAACTTTAAAATATAACATAAGGATGACGTCTGACGTACGAGTCGCAGTCTAGAGACCGCGGTTACGTTGGACGATTAATAGCGCGACTATGAGTCCCCGGCGACTAGCGGTCAGCTTGCATTCTCGCCTGACTACTTCAACTTATTATTAATGTATAATATTAATGATCTTTCATGCACATATAAGACTAATGACAAACACACTCTGAAAAAATATTGATTTATTAAAATTTTACATTTTGTATATCGTTTTGATCACGGAACAAACAGACAGTATATCAAAAAACACAGACACATTTGTCTCAACCACGATATACAAAGCGATTTTTTTCAAACTTTCAAAAAAAGAATCTTATTTTTTATGTTTTTTTTTGTAGCTTTTTTTCTGTAATAAAATTGGCATGCACCGTTAACGCTACGCGTGGTGACCATAGATAACGTTTTGTTGGGTTTTTTTTTTTGAGAAAGAAATAAAGAGTGTGTTCGTCTTTATATGTGCAGGGAAGTCAATGGTGTGGGATGTCGGTGGGCCACTGCGGACACGTCCCATTACCACGGTGAGTCTTAGATATAGACTTTATTTTTATTTAGCTTTAAGTTTACTTTGCGTTGCATGCTCGAGAAATGCAGTGTTGTTATAATTTTGAAGTAACGATAGAGAACACATAAATGACATGGTTTAGAATCGCCAACCTGAAGATGCTGAAGACAAATCCTCCGATAGTGTGACCTAAATGTCAGCTTGGCACTCTATGTCGTTCAAAGTGACAATGACGCTGTCTTAATTAGGTTTTTGGTTGCCTTCTTGTCCATGTAGCGGAATAAGCTTTAAACTCGGTACTACCAAATGGTGAAACAACAATATTATGGGGCATTCCCAATACTATTGCCCATAATATTTTTGACTTATCAATTTATGGTTCAGTTTGTACCCCGCTACATCATATCCCTGGCAATGATAGGAAGAGCTGAAGATCAAGCTCAGTGATGGGATTTAAGAGGTCTTTGTCCAGCAATAGAGATGTATAATTATGATAACAAAGAAGCAGAGTATCAAATATTTCTAAACAATATAATGCCTTCAAAAATAGCTCGATAATTGGAGTCCTCGATAAGTCTACACGGAACGACACGTGGTACTACAATATGCATGGTACAATGCATGCGACACTACGTATCAGTGTCACAAGACAGATAATAATACAGAAGTATCTTATTATACTGTATTATATAAAGCGGAAGAGTTTGTTTTTTTTTCTTGTTTGTTTCAACGCGCTAATCTACGTAACTACAAGTCTGATTGGAATAATTCTTTTTGTGTTGGATAGCACATTTATCGAGGATGGCTGTAGGCTATAAAACATCACTCTACGACCAATAGGAGCTGAGCAGAGCGTGTGAAACCGCGCGGAAGTAGCTAGTTAGTAATAACTGCAACATTAGAATTGTATCCCATAAGATCCACGCTTGGCAAACAGTTTGAAAAGTCCAAAGTTTGTTTTACTTTCATCGAGATCAAGTTACCACGTCTGGGCGCTGGTTGGCCTTTTTTTTGATGACGGGGGAAACCTTCGAAAGGCGCCTAGCCTTTTGGGGATTAAAGACTAACGAGTGTGGGATTTTTACCTCACTAAAACCATGCCAGTGGCCACCATCAACACCTGAATGGAGGCACCGGGTCCTCTAGAAGAGACCTACTCCGGCGCCTCCACGGTGCAACGCCTGTTACGACACATCCCTAGGGAGACGGGTGTCTCTTTTAAGCCTTGTTGTGTACGGCGCACGTGACCACTATACCACCGTCTTCCCTGAGACCACAAGTGGGCCCTAGAGTCTCCACTCTACGCACCCGCGGCCCCAAAGGTCCGTCTGAAGTTGGCTTCAATGAACCAACCAATCAGAGCGCCGCGATATCGTTTCAATCTCGTTAAATGTAAAACTAACTTGTTATAAGCCCACATGGTGCTATGAGAGATCACTGTTGTTCGGTCTTTGCTATTTGTTCAAGAGTCCTCCTACCCTCCTACCCTCCTTCGACTTCACGGTTGGCGCAGTGGCTGGGCAACTGGCTGCCACGCAACGTGTCGCGGGTTCGACTCCCGCACGGAACAACTCTTTGTGTGATCCACAGATTGTTGTTCCGGTCTGGGAGTCATGTGTATGTGATATTGTATATTTGTAAACGCACCCACGCACAGGAGAAAATTCTATGTGTTTAAGTGTTTAAAAAAACGTTGCCCACGTCTTTTTAAAAAAAAACCCTGGGTGAGGTGGGAAGGAGTATCAGAGTCTTACTGACTAAAAACCACCCCGTTCTAACATCTGTTCCCTGCTGGGCTTGTACTCATTACGGCGACCTAACCGCAACCTCTGCAAAGAATGTTTACACCCTTAACCAGCTTTAACGACACCTGCGGAAAAATTAGGAATAGTGACCATTATAATTATCACATCACAGTGGCCACTGCTGACCAAAGATCTCTTCTCACACGGAGAAGGTTTAAGCATTAATCACCACGCTTGCTAACGCGGTCGATTTCAAACTTATAATTAGAAATTATAAGCCCAGATTTGTTCACAATGTTTTTCCTTCACCGTTTATCAGTGGTGTCTAAATAATCTTAGAAAGTACGTATACCTCGGCAAAAGTCACATTGGTACTTGCCGTTTGGTAGGTTTCGAACCCGCAACCATGCATGAGCAGCGCGCGTCTTAAACCTCCGGGACACCACGACATTTGCGATTACTTTTAATTATACAGATTAGATAAAATATTTCACTGGACTGAACCCCATCATCAGCATTTTCTTTCCACTTCACCTTCTCCATTACCTGTCCGACAACCGAAGGTCGCGTCCAAACATAGACAGTATTGATTGCTAGTAGATTGAATAAGTTATTACTTGCCACTGGACTAGCTACTTGCCTAATGGAGCGACGTCGGTTTGGACAAGCGTTCTCCGGACAGACGGTTGCATATATTCACTATAAAACGCACAATGTACCTGCCATCTGGAAAGTTAACCAGCTCGTCTGGAAGTCTTCTTGTGGCGTCACTGTCGATGTAGAGGTCGCTCGTGAAATTTCAAGTGAGTTTTGACCTTGTCTGACCTTCTGATTTTATTTTTTGTTTCACGTTTTCTCTATTGGCGTGTTTGTTAATTGTGTTTTTAAGTTGTGGTTGTTGTGCATCTGTGATTGTGTGTTTTTCTATGTTTTTAAATATTATCATCTTAATTATCTAACTGTTTTAATAAGTATTTTCGTTTAATGACGATTCTTAAAGACTTTGTTGCTCCTTGCTAGTGGAAAGTTATTTGTCATGGTCTTTGCCCATAGCGTAACCTATTTTTGAAAGAAGTTCATGATTTTATAACGAGACAAATTTAGCCTAGCTGTCTGATTTGGATTTTCAAGGTAAATTTTATTTTTTTATTAATGAGCAACTTTGAGAAGCAACTTCGAAGCATGGCAAGATGCACCACAAACATCAGTATGTCACATTTTAATTTATTATTTTAACAGACTTTTCTTTATTTTGGTTTCGGTAGATAGGTTAGCTTTCAGATGCAGAAAAACAGGACAGATATATCTGTGTAAAGAAAATTTGAACAAGACTGGCCTTCTACAGCCCTTGAAATCTTCATAATGGTAATCAATATATTTATCCTATATTCTCCATTGTCCACAGTATCGGAGGATGTGCCACCAGTACAGAGAAGTGCTCCCCTGCTGCAGTCCCCACAATACACCGGTGGAAGGCCACAACCTTACAGTAAGTACCCCCTTTTAAAAACTTCTTTGATGTCTTGGGTGTCCATTGGCGGTGTTGATCGCTTACCATCAGGTGATCTGTTTGCTCATTTGCCGTCCTATTCCATAAACCATTTTATGGTTCCACCATCAGCTCACGAGGACGTGAGTTGAAGCATCCGTCGAAGCTTCCATTAGTGCCATGTCATTTAGACGTGGTATTTTTATGTTTATTTCAAAATTTTTGAGTAATTTGGTATTATTGTGTACGTTTTTGGATGGCAAAGGTAAGTTATTGTTTGTCCAAGTTTATGAGTCTATGTACAATTTTATTATCACTTTACAGCTTATCTACATCTACAGAAACTTCTTTTTTGATACAACGTTCATTATTTTGCTCAACACGAATTCTAACCATAACAGACTTACCAAGTACTCTATGTGAGTAGATAGATACACACATACGATCAACTTTCGGCTCTGTCCAACTAGTTTCCAACTCAACCGTAGCGTTAATCAAGAGCTTTTCAACCGACAAACTGTCGAAATAATCCCCGATAATGTTCGTGTGAACAGAGCCATGTAAAATTTTAATGCATCTCTCTGTATGGCTTGTAACTTATTGGGGATTCGACATGCAGTGGTTAAAAGATAGCAGATTTTTGATTAAATTATTTCTTCAACAGATGTGTTAATTGTGTATCTTATGGCAATTATGATAATAGTCAATTTTAGATGTTAGTTAAAATCGAAAAAAGCACATCCTACCATATTTAAGTCCATGCCTTATACTTAGACTACATAAAAGTCAGTTTTTATCCAAATAACCTCATGTTCGTATGTAATCTACGCAGCGGCTAATAAACAACAAAAATAAAAAACATAATAATATTCCAAATGCAACTACCAGAATGATCCAAAGAAATATAAACTTTATATTCATTGCTTCGCTCTAAATGTGCACTGAAAATCGTATGCACCGAAAACTTTTGCTCGAACTATTTACCAGAAATTCAGTTGGACTGAACCGGGTCATGAAAGTTCGGAATCGTCTAAACTTCTGACTAGATTGTCACAGTTCCCAAAATGTTCACAACCAACGAGACTTTGCGGAAGGTGACAGTTTTAAAATTAACTCCTAGCTTAAAAATGTACGAATAAAGCTAGAAATATAACTGGGGGAAGTATTTTACTAGTGGTTATTTTGCGACCACCAACACCCCTCATGGCTTTTAACCCCTCGAGCGTCCTTATGAACACCCGGTGGATCATAAGAAAAAATGCTCCATGCTGCTTTCTCTTTTATAAAATCTACTATTAATGTTTTGTTTTTATTTTGACTGTATTTTTTATTTCTATTGTAATGATCCTTGTTTTCGTGTGCCAATGGCCAAATAAATGCATTTTCTTTCTTTATATCTTTCTTTTTCCAAATGTGACGTGTGCACCCGTTGGATCATAAGGAACGCGGACGCTCGACGGGATTAAAGAATGTGCACAGAAACCTTACGTAAAATTTCCGCATAAAAATTAATTCAGCCATTTTTGAATTTATCGCGAGCTTAATTTATTTCGTAAGGAGAGTTTGATTATTTCCCATAAAACAATAACTATTTTCTTTAACGTCTAATGCCTTATGATTATGAGCCCTTTTATGTCTTGAGACTAATCGAACATCCTCAAAAACTTACGTTTCTAATTTGTTTATCCTTGACCGTATGTAAGATAGGATTGCTATTTTAGCCGTCAAACATTCAACAATGAATCCTGAACGTTGCTCAATCAAAGTTTGTTCCATTCCACAAAACTAAGGTTGTGTTTATATTGCTAGCGATGAAGCGATGAGCGAAAGCGATTAGCTGAATAATGTGAAAGAAAGCAAACGAAAATATGTGGGATGTGAACCTATTTCATCAGGTTCTAGTTGACAGCATAAGTTATCAAAATATATCGTTAAAGACCTTACATTCGTCCATTAACATGCTACTGAGCTCGATCCTCGGTTCTTACTGCTATCTCCTACTGCTAGCCACTTTTTCCACCTAACTGAGGACTAGTATATCAACAGCCAAAATTAATTACCGATTTTAATACGACAGCATTTCCATCATATAGATGTTTGGCAGGCCACAACTGCGCGCTTTTCTCGTACCTTTCTGCCTCGCACAGAAAACTGTAGACTGATCTGTCTTCGGCGGTATTTCCGAATCGATACGACCTTCAAACTTCAAGAAAAGAGGGTATTCCTTTTCAAAAGGCCGGCAACGCACCTGTGACTCTTCTGGTGTTGTGGGTGTCCATGGACGGCGCTGATCGCTTCCGTCTGCTCGTTTGCCTCCTATTCCATATGAAAAATAGTACTAAATCTCTGGATCGATCTCAGTTTTTGACAAAAACTCAATAGAACTTATGTAAACAATTTTTTTTGTATTGAATCCGATTATTAAATTTTGCCATAAATCGCTCGCTAGCGCTTTCTCTATGACCCTAGTCTCAGCTCAGTAATCCAACTGTTCAGAAAGTGCCCAAACCCGTCGATGCTCAGAATTGGAGTTTAAGACTGGTATACCCAACTCTAAAACTTTAAACCGGCTGCTATTGGCAGGAACAATATAGAAATGAATGAGTTTTCTGACAAAATGTTTTATTATAATGCGCACTGCTTCATTGGTCTAGTGGTCGTTAACGGTACTAGCGAGCTGAAGTTTCATATTCGAATACAAAGTCAGGAAGACTTTTATAACAAAACATCGCGCCTTTTATCCCCGAAGGGTTAGGCAGAAGTGCACATTATACCACTTTACAATCTAACACCCACTTTTCACTATTTATGTTATGAGACGGAGTGAGCCTATTGCCATATACCGGGCACAATTATAGACTCCGTGCTACTAACTACTGCGGATATAAAACCCAATAATACTTTGCTCGACCCGGGAATCGAATCCCAATCGAACCCTAAACCCGAATCGAAGGGGGTCTCCCCTTGCCCGGCAGTCGCACTTACGACCACTCGGCCAACGAGGTTGTCAAATTTTATAAATTTCTAAAATTGCATTACCTTTCATCTACAGCGAGTGACAGACACTCCACTTCTATACAATGAACCTTCTCTATATGAGAAGGGTTTACCAAAATCTCCAAGTAAGGCAATTAGGGTTGTAGGTAGATTGTAGTCTAAGAGACTGGACATTTTACAACACTGGCTCTTACGAAACCCATGAGAAGATTATTTTATGTCATTATATTCTGACGTCACTATACGGCAAGGCACGTAAAGCTTATTTTGATAATTATTACTAGACTGCCTCGTTGGCCGAGTGGTCGTAAGTGCTACTGCCGGGCAAGGGGTCTCGGGTTCGATTCCCGGATCGGGCAAATTATTACTGGGTTTTTAAATATTCTCAGTAATAGCACGGAGTTTGGAATTGTGCCCGGTATATGGCAATAGGCTCACCCCCTATTAGATGGGACTCATAACATAATAGTGAAAAGTGGGTGTTACATTGTACAGTGGTATAATGTGTACCTCTGCCTACCCCTTCGGGGCTAAAAAGGCGTGATGTTATGTTATGTTATTCTGGATTCATGACATAGTACAAAAATGTTCTAAATGTTCAGTATCTGCTTCACACATTTTCATACGTTTACATAAACTGTCACCGCCGACAAAAGAAAACAAAACGTTACTGAAAATGCATGAAAAATATGTTCGCGACGTATCGCCGTAAATTTTCATGCAAACGAAAGTGCTGAAATTGTAAAATTTACTGTTTTCGCACACACATATCTTAATGTATGCATCTTTTTGGTCGCGAGATCGCGTTTAAAATTTGTGGACTAGGAAATTCTTTGTCTTGGACAAAATATAGTAGAAATAATCAGTGACATAACATACGTAATATCACGCCTTTTACTCCCGAAGGGTAAGCAGAGTTGCACATTACGGCACTTAATGCCACTGTACAATGTTACACCCACTTTTCACTATTTATGTTGTTATAAGTCCCATGTAGTAGGGGGTGAGCCTATTGCCATATAAATAAATAAATAAATAAAATAAAATAGCCCTTTATTCAGATACAACTAATAACTGTTACATAATTTAATATTGCCTACGATTTGCATTACTTTGGTCTAGTATCTATTGCCATATACCGGGCACAATTCCAAACTAAGGACTAAGGAGAGGCCTTTGTCCAGCAGTGAACATCTTTCGGCTGTTGGTGATGATGATGATGATAATTTCAAGACTTCGTGCTACTACAGACATTTTTTTAAAACCCAGTAATACTTTATATTAGTGAAAGTATATAAACTATTTTTGGAATACCTAGAGTAATGGAGTTTCTTGCTCGTTCTCCTTCATTCCAAACTACTCTTTGAAACGAGCAATCAGTTCCATTGACAGACAGACAAACGGACAATTAAATTTTGACCTTCAAAAAGTTGCTTATTAGCAATTAGAATTAATTGAAATGTACTATATGCTTTGCTATATCAAAATATAGTCCTGATCAATTTTTAGTTAATTTATGATGTAATTTTCTCGTTTCATTGTATTTTTCTACCAATTAATACCTTTTTGGTCAGTTGACCAAAAAGTTTCATAAGCAAATTCGCCAGGCGATCGGTCTCAGTTTCGATTCTGGATGAAAATTACCATTTTTTCAGTTTTCCGGTAATAGCATAGATTCTCGAACGGTGCCTCGTACAAGCGTCATAAAAATATCGTAAAACTCTTGTTTATTAAATTATCTCTCGAAATTGTAAAATTTCATACATACATGATATCATACCTACGTTTCAGAATGGTTCTCTCAGTTTGTATGTACGCGAAAATTGTTTTAAACGATTCATGAATGGCTCTCAAACTGGCCCTGGATGGAAATTGAATAAAATCTACTATTTCAGCTTAAGTTTTATCTGTATTTTGTATTTTAATTACGTTTATGTTTACCTTTATTGTTGTTGTTTATACATCATTTACTATTTTGCACACTTCATCAATCCATCACTTAG